AGACTCATGCAGTTGACCGTCACCGTCTGCGCCTCGGAGAGCTCGGCCTGAGGGGAGGAGGAGGGGAGGGGGTTAGCCTCGGAGCTCCCGTTTTCCCACGGGGTCCCTGAATGCACCGCTCTTACTCTCATCTCCTGCAGGACGCAGCCCAGGCAGGCCGTCTTCCCCGTGCCCGGCGCGCCCGAGATGTAGAGGCTGCCGGCGCGGCGCCGCAGCACCCCCCCCTCCAGGAAGGCGCGGATGGACGCCCGCTCCGCCTCCCGGGCCAGCAGGCGCGGGGGGGCGGCGGTGTGGAGGGCCCGCTTCACGCTCTGGAGCCTGGACTCTGCGGCAGGAGAAGGAAAGATCGACAGGGGTCAGTACGGCAGAACCCACCCCCCTACACACACACACACACACAGGCCGATTGGGGATGGGGGGGCCTACTTTCTGTTGCCGGCCGCCTCCTCTCCTGACCCTGGAGGACCGGGCTCCCCGGGGGCGTCTCCTGCCGCCCGGGCGGCGTCCGGCCGGCCGGCTGCTGTGGGGCGGGGGTCCGGGGGGTCAGAACCGGGCAGTTCTCGTCGAATCCCAGCTTCCGGGGGGAGGCCAGAGCGGAGCGGCTCTGCTTCGGGGGGGAGCCCGGCGGGTCGCCGCCCAGGTTGCAGCTGTTATCGTCCCCTACGGAGAGAGAGAAACATCAGCGGGTGAAGGTGAAGCTCCAGAGCGTCCAGCTGTGGCATGGGGGGGGTCAGGGGCCTCTTACCTGTGCGTTTCCGGGGGCTGAGGGGGAGCCGGGCCGGGAGAAGGGGGGAGGAAGGGGCCGGGGGCTGAGGTACGCGGCATCTGGGCGAGAGGGGGGGCGCCGGGGGTCTCGGGGACAGGGGCCCGAGGCGAACGGGGCTGGGTGGCCGTGCCGGGGGTCCGGCGGCGGTCTTCTGGGGGGGTTTGGGGCAGAGAGCCACCCTGCAGGATTTGCGGCGTGGGAAGAGAAGGGTGGGCTGAACCTGGCCTCCAGAACGGGTGCTGGGCATTTTGGGCTCTGTGGAACAAAGAGAGTTTTTAGGTTCTATCTGGTTCCAGCAAAGGGACAATCACATAACAAGTAATACTCCACTGAGTTCCAAGCAGCCTCTCAAAAGCCCTAATGCTGAGTTGTTGGACTCTTTTTAAACTCAAAAAGAACACAAAGGCCACAAAGAAAGCGGTGTAAACTCTAAAACCACTTAAATATCCTAATTTTAAGCCTAAATTACGGTCACACCGCACAGGAAGTGTCTGTGAGTTTGCTCCTGAATGGCGCCAAGACCCGAGTGCTCCCTCAAAATGTGTCCCCGACCGCATTAACGGGGCTTTTTTCCGCCTCAAACACACCCGCCAAACTTAAATTAACCAAGCATATTACTTTTACCAACCAATTTGTGACATGTCTGAAAATTAACAACTGAATTAAGGACTACAAACACGAAACCCCGCCGCTTCTCAGAGTCCCGCCGCTAGACGACATAAACTTTAGCCTCCATATAAGCGAGCAGCGGGTAAATTACCTTCGGGATACGCTGAAAGAAGTCCTCAGAGTAAAAAGCGGTCGGTTTCCAGTCTCTGGCCCGGTTTTGCTTCTCCCTCCGTCCGAATTCACCGGCGTTCTGCGACCAGACTTGCGCCAAATCTCCCCCCTCAGCTCCGCCCCGGCCAGCTGGATCTCCCGCCGCTGCTCCGCGATTGATCAGGACCGCGGCTTCCGCGACGCTCATTGGTCTAGCGGCGCAGGCGGATGTGACGTCGGCGGAACCTGGTCCGTGGCGGGAGTTTCAACGGGCCACTGTTTTGGCGGACTCGAATTTTCCCGGGAATAAAGCAGCTGCTCTGTTAGGTCATCATTAGACGTGCGTTGTTTGTTTAAACAATCCATGCTGACAATGGCGTAAGATTGAACGTAACACCAAAGTGAACACTGACCGAAATACCGAAAGGTGATGTAAATAAATGGTTAGTAAAACACTCAAAACTTGGATTTACAAGACAAAAAAATCCGTCACTTCCACTCATTGAAAGCCTGAATCAAAATAATCGGGGACTAAAAAAATTATGTTTCCCATATCTCTACCCGCTGTTAACCGGGACTTAAGTAGATTTAAACGTCTAGCCAGGGCAGATAAAAGCACAGAGATGTAGAATTCTCGGATTCTTTGACTTGTGGAACTAAATATTAAGAGATGCAAATATAGGAGAGTTCAGCACCCTGTGGAGCAGGGATGGGGAAAACCTCTAAAGGCCACAGATAATTTCTGAACCCAAAAGTTATCAGGTTTTCTCATAGATATTTTCCAAAACATCAATACATTTTGGGGGTTTTTAGATTGATTTACAGACGACTCACTCTAAAACTCGTTCTTACAAACTTGATGAACATTTATACTCTATGGATTATTAGGCTTACTCTGGAACCAGAGAACCAAATTTTGTTCCACTTTCTGCTTTAATGACTTGAAATGACAATAAAAACTGTGAGGTGATGTATCCAGTTACAAATCTTTAATAAAGAGGGGAAGAAATCAACATGCACTCATACAACAGAAACAGGCCAGCCAACGGCTTTCAGAAGAAAAGGCTCTACTTTGATCTCCTTCTGGATGGTCAAAGGGCTTCACAAAAGATTTCAAGTCCATCTTACAGTTAGCTCAGACAGACTTTGATCACCTTGAAAGTAACTGGGGTATAAATGTCTGATCATCATAGGATTATTTGACCACGAATAGCACCCCCATATTAGAATTTTGTGATCCAATTACAAGTCACATTTGAACTAAGGGTAAAACAAAAGGCCCATGAACACAGCCACGAATGGCAAAGTGCAATAATGAAACATGCTAAAAAGCTTCCATTTCAAAAGCTGAGTTCTAGGTTTTGGACTGTATGAGCTCAGTAAGGGGTGGAGAAAAAAAAGGACAAATAGGACACTACATCAGGTACCCTTTTCCCCCAACAGGAATATATTTATTTGAAATTATTTCAAATGATAAAAAAAACAAAAAAAAAACATTGTTGATTAACATGAAACGACCACAAGGCTCTTGCTCTTCAGGGTGATGAGGGGAAGACACGGTGGAAACGGTGGCCTGTGTGTCTTCTGAGTGACCATCAAGAAGGTATCCGACCATTTTTGTGTGTGGATGTGATCACTCAACATTTCGTTTTTCACCAGAAAAGGATTTTCTAGATATCGGAAGGCCCAAACTAACGTTGGTAGAACCTAACATGCATCCATGCAGCTCATTCACCCGTTTGGCCAAATGTCCAGAGAGGCCAGCATCGGGCGGCCGGCTTCACTGGAACACCGCTATAGCTTTTAATCAATTTACTCTCCTATATTACAAACTTTTTACAACATAAAAATAGATCGATAACTATGATTATCATATACCTAAATATACAATATTTATTGAATTTTCAAATAAACTGTTTCTTATTCACTTTGATGACATCATCCCCAGAAGAACTACTAAAATAAAAGCATGGTACCGATGAGGGGGACAGAGCTGTGTAAGACAGAGGCCAGCAGGGGGCGCTGCCTCCCCCCCCCCCTGCAGGGAAGATGAGTGGGAACATGATGTCTTTAGTGTCTTAAAGTTTAGCGTAATGATTCAATAAAAAAAGTAGAATAAAGAACCTCCATGAGTTTTTTTTTTTCTAACAGTTCTCTGGCACTTAAGTGTTCATTTCTTGTTAGCTGCTACCGTCTACAATCAATACAAACAGCTCCTTGCATAGCAATTAAACAACAATGTGTCCTTCTGGCCAAACAGTCCTTTAAAAAAAAGGTCAACCAGCAGCAAAAGTAGGAATAGCGATATTCAGATCGACTTCCGGAGAAGACGATTTCTGAAAAACGGAAAGAAAAGATCCCTTGTAATCTCCGCCCAAACCACGCAGAATCTGCAGCTAAATCGCCGTCCAGCCCAAAAAAACCTGGACCAACCTGGGTGTCCCACCACGCCTGTGATGCTGACCCGCACTATATTGGAATCAAAGAACGTTTTTTTTTTTTAAGATTTCTTTCCCCCCGTTCGACATGTTTTCATGCACAGTGTTTTTCGGTGTAGCAGTTAGGCTGCTGTGCGACAACCGCCTGAACGTGGACGTACAAAAATACAAACCTCCTGAAATAAAAAGGGGAAGCGGAGGCCGATTATGCGGGGAAAGTGGCCTCTTAAGTGTACAAACATGCAGGCCAGCCTCCTCGGAACTTCGTGAAATCGTGAGAAATGGGAGAAAAAAAAAAAACGTGCGTGGGGAAGCATCCACCTGCTTTTGGCACACGGAGGAAAAGCGGTCGTTTTAAAAAATGCACCTCTTCACTGGCACTGCTGGAATGGCTAATGGAAACAACAACTCACGGAAACATATCCCCACCGACAAGCCCCACACGTGTGGCTTTGGGAGCAAAAACGCGAATGGCACTTCTCTGCTGCAATTTTCATTCATTGTGCTGATACTCCCCCCCCCCGGAAAAAAAATTACCGCAGACACCGAAAACATCACACAGAAGAAAAGAAAAAAAAAAGAGAGAGAGATAAGTTCTAAAGAATAATAAAAATCGCAACTAGCGTCATGAATCTGCATCAGAGGAAGTGGAATGCAGAGATCTGGAAGTGTTCAGTGTTTGGTCCTGATATGTGGAGTCAGGCCGAGCTGAGGGCCTTTCTGGCTTCCTTCAGTGGTTTCTCTTTTTTTTTGTTTTTTGTTCTCATGCAAAGACAAAAGCGCAGAGCGCTGGGGTGGTTGCCGCTGTGCTCCGGGCTGGTGGTTTTAAGTGTTAGTGCGTGTAGTGTGTTTGTGAGTCGAGTGCTGCTCCGTCCCCACCTCCCGACGGGTCGGCGGACAGAGTTCGTTTTTTCCAGGCGGAGGGAATGTTCACCTCCCCACCGGCGGGGCTGGAGGGGCTCCTCTCATGGCTGCGGGCAGAAGGGGGGAGGGGGAGGGGATGGGGGGGTTACTTCCTGTTGCTGGAGGGTGCGAATCGGTGAACAAACAGACCCGCAAAACGCCTGTAACATTTGGTGCCGGTTGAGATTTGACCCGGAAGTTTTTCCTTGCCTGTGTCGCCTAGTGCTTGCTCATGGTGGGAATCGTTGGGTTTCTGTACTTAACTTCAGAGTAGGGTGTGACCTGCTCTGTTTGGAAAGCGCTGTGAGACAACGGTTGTTGTGATGTGGCGCTATATAAATAAAATTGAATTGAACCTGATTTGAGTACAGAAACCTGACAAAAAAAGAAGGCCTGTGGGATAAAACTAACTCTGGAAAAGGTCAAAACTTGGACCCCGCTGACCCTTCGACAATAATCGCGTGGATGACCGATCTGACTTGATTCTATCTAAGTAAATATGAATGTAAAGACATAAACGGATGAGTAAAAGTGTGACTGCACTCATACCCTTGTTGGTTTTGCTGGGGTACACTTTGCTGAAGGGCCTGTAGTCCTCTGGAGGTGGGAGATCCTCGATGGGGTGGAAGTTGAACTTGGATTCAAAATCATCTAAAAAGGAGAGAATAATGACACGTTTTAGGAGAGTTCAGCTTCTACCATCAACCACAGCAGACTCCGGGGCCGACTTTCTAAAGGAATTCAGGACGAACAAGCACGCAGACTTGATTCTCAGCCCCCCTTCAACACGACCAAGTTCTGACAGTCCGGTTCAGGACATCGGAACAGAGTGAAAAGCCGCTTTTTAACAAGTTCAGTTGTGCTTGTACTTGTATGACATATCATTGAAATACATACTTAGACTAAGACTAGATGTATATGGTCATGTAGGGATGTCCCGATCCAGCTTTTTTCACTTCCGATCCGATACCGACTTTAACACATGCTCTGATAGGAGCATGTGTTAAAGTTTAAATTTATTTAGACTATTTACTTAGTTATCAGACTCATGTTGAACAGGGATTTACTCTGATAACAAGTTAATGGTTAGGACACAGGCCTGTGGGTTAGGAGATGCTAATGCTAATGCTCGTGTGGGTTCGGACTTAAAAAAAACAAAAAAAACTGGATCGGGAGTCTGAATCTGCATTTTTTCATGCAGCCGATACGCATTTTTTTGCAAATATCAGCGGCAAGTCTAAGGTCCAGTACATCCTTTGTCTCCTGCTCTGTTGTCAGTATAGTGATAGGGGGTTTAGAGGGGCGTGGACACCCTGGACAGGTCGCCTGTCCGTCAGAGGTCCAGCATGTCGAAGTGACCCCAAGTACCCACATGTTGTGGCACGAGCGGCCTCTGTGTTGGTGAACATTTGCGGACTAAAGCACGAACGCTCAACGGCTTAAGCAGCTCCTCTTCTTAAATTCTAGTGATCCGTGAGCCCCAGAGCGTATTCTAGGAACAAAACCTGATTTTACCAGTACAAGAGGAAGCAAAATGCCCCGTTTGCATAGCTGGAGGAGATTTGACTGAGCATGACCAGCCGCCTGTGTGTGCTGGCTCACATCAGGGCCGTAAACAAAGTAGCCCAGCGGCCGAATAACTGATAAAACTCTTAAATAGATCTTTGGAGCAGTGACTGCCGGCAGATCGAGCTAATCTCTGACATTCAGCTCATGCAAAATGAGGGGGGATTCTAGCAGTGGCAGCACCATCCTTAGATGGTATCATCAAAATCCTGAAAAGTTCTGTTTTTGGATTTCCATTGAAAATGTAACAGGACAATTTCCATAATGGTTGTACAGCAGAACCTCTACGTACGATTGCCTAAACATAGACATTTTCCAACATACAAGGTGAAATTTGATTAAATATTCGACTCGACACCCAACGTAAATTTCCAACATGACGTCAGAGTCATAAAAAAAATAAAATAAAATATAAAATAAATAAGCTAAGTTAGTTTAAAGTTCACGTGATGAAAGTCAGAGTAAGTTACAGTACGTCTTGTATCTCTGTCTCCACCTCTACCTCCGTTCACCAATAAATGCCAATAAAAAAATGTTTTTATTGATTATTTCTTTATCATTTATTTCTTTTTACGTCTCTCTTATATAATGCATTTGTTTTATTGCTATGTGTAATTATCTGCAGTATTTATTAAGGAGTAATCGTAGCTTTTTAGACTGTGGAACAAATTACAGGAATTACAGTGTATTCTGATAGGAATATTTGAACCAACATACGAATATTTTAACATACGATGTATGTACTACTGTAACAGATTAAATTCGTATATAGAGGTTCTATTGTACTTTTCTCTAAACGAGAGGCATGTGATTGGTTATCTGCTCATCCTTTAACTGCCATGTATGACGAGGCCCACAGAGTTGGACATCTGACCTGTTCAGGCGCTGACCACACAACCTAAATCTGTCCCCCTGATATACTTTACAAATGGAGGACAGGCTTCTCCATCAGTAGGTTTCTCCTCCGAGTGAGAGATCATGGCTGCATCAGGAGCAGAGCCAAAAAGAGCCAAACAATTAGCAGACTATGCTGGTGGGGCAGCTGAGGATGAAAGGGGTCCGCAGTCCCTCTGGCAGGTGGCAGGGGAGCGCAGATGCTGTGCAGGCCCACCCCTGAATGCTGCGCTCTCACACCCCAACGCCACAGAAACGCAAGCAAAAAAAAAAAAAAAAAAGGGGGGCGCACAGGGCCAGAACACGCACAGCTATGGTTGCAGCTGCTCGGGGGGGCAGGCTGCTTCTCTGACCATCAATGAGGAAATGTCTGTGGGTGAGGCACCGAAGCCCTCATAGCCTCCAGCGTGTCGGCTGGTGTGTGAACGGATACAAAATTAAGACAAAACTAAACGTGTGTGTGTGTGTGTGTGCGCGAGTGAGTGAATGCAAACTTTAGAGGAAAAGCTCTAAATGGACAAGTCTAGAAAAACCTGTTAGAGAGGGGTGTTTAAACCGTGTAATTCCACATTAAAAAATGTATGAGAAGACAATTTTGTCCGAATTCAAAATTGGACTTAATCTAAACATTGTCCAGATTTTTCCCTCAGAGCTCTGGAAACATCAACTATTAGAGCAAAACGGTACAACATTAAATTAGATGCCCACCTTTGCCCACAATTAAATCATGTGTGATCCATCGGGAGGGAGGGGGGGGGGGGGGGGTCATCTGTGATGAAATTATGAATGTGGATGACTTATGTGATGCAGAGGGGAGACCCGTCTTAACTCACCCATGATGGACCTGGAGGAGGAGGAGCTGGAGGAGTGACCGTTTCGGATGGGTGGGGGAGGTGGAGGAGGTCCAGCTGGGGTCCGGGAAGATGAGGAGGAGGAGGTGGAGGAGGGGGGGAGGATTCGGTTTCCCCATTCGGCTGGGGGGCTCCGAGGTCACAGAGCTGTGGCCCCGATATGGGGGTGGAGGGGGAGGGACCTCCCGTCCACCGTTACGAGACCCGGAGGAAGGCACCTGGGGGGCTGTGTGGAGATCAAGATGAACGACTAGTTTAGCGAAGGCCTACCCTTGATCCACGAGTATGGAAATGACAGAAAGTCAGAGACACCGGCCTTCATTTCTATCTATCAGTATCATTTCTGTGTGTTCAAACATATTTGTAAGAGTCTATTCAAACTTTCCCCACCCTCCACTTTGAATTTATTCAAAATGGAAAAAAAGGACCATGCCATGTGCCAAAAAACTGGAGATGCTAAGTAGTAAGAGGGCTGTTCTTTTGAACAGTTTTAGTGCAAAAAGCCTCAGAAACAGAGCCACATTATGGCAACCATAGCTCATCAGGAAAGACATCTGAGCAACCTGCTCGCCATTATTGAGCTCTAAAAAAAAGAAACAGGTTTCAAGAACTCTTTGAAACTTGGTTGATTCAGTAATAACCTATTCTATGATATGTGAGTGTACAGACGAGTGAAAATTGAGAAGCCTCAGACAGAACATGAACAAAATAGTGGGTAGGTTTAACACCTTTTATACCCCCGTGAATGTGCCTCGCTGGCAGATAAAAATTTTAAAAAAGTTTGGAAACTGGAGCGTTAGCTGTTTAATGAGGCCTTCTTCCAGACTCCAAAGATTCCTTTTGACTGTCTGAGGTCTGGGCCGGCACACAGAGGCCTAACGGGGAAGCGGGAGAATGTGAAAGAAGAGTCCCTCCATCTGGAACTGTTGGCTTTAGCTGGCCCCCCATGTTCACAGGAGAAAGGTCCAGCTGTGATCCGGACAGTGGCTTCATGGTGATATCATTCTTCTTCCTATCTCGTTTTAATTTTTGTTATTTTTCTTCAATATTTTGTAACAATTTCACAGCTAATCTGATCATGGCGCTGGCAGAACAACACCCTCACATCATTCCCCCCCTCTGCCTCTCAGAATAGCTGTGCCCCCCATTTGTCCCCCTTTTAAACACTGAATGGGTCACATATATGGTTTTACTTTCTGGCAACCCTCCAACCCCAGTCTGTGCAGTTTCCCCCGGTCAAACGAGGACCAGCACAGACAAAGAGCCCATTGAACCCTTTTCCTTTTCTTTTAACAGTCTGTAAGGTTATTTAACACCTTCTGCGTGTCTGTAATACGTCTTCTTGGTTCACGATAAAAATGTCTTTACAGTTTCTCATAACTCTGGTTTGCATGTTTCTGATAGCTCAGCCTGTCTGTGCAGATCACAAGCAGATTGCAGCCTGTCACAGAGAGCTGAACACAGAGCAACAAAACTTAGATTGCTTCTGCCCATTCCCTACATTCTGCCCCTCTGGCTATGTCATTAAATGACAGTCATGTTAAAATGTTAAGATAACGCTCCTTTCTGTTATGGCCCTTTCTTCTGACTGGCTGCGACTGAACGTAAACAAAGCTCAAAAGCAGAGAGAGTGGAAGTGAAGAGGAGAACTGGAATATTCCACAGGGCTTTAGGAATGCTGAGAAACCAGGAGACCTTGTGGAGAATTTCTTCAGCTAACAGGCGCCTTCCTGTTTGGTGACTTTGCTCTGAATTTAAGTTATGGAACACATTTCCACGAGCTGCAAATTCATTCAATAGAACAAATTCATGAGATGGTGAACCTTATGTCGGCCTGGACAAGTGTGTAGGCATTTAAACCCCCCCCCCCTCCTCAGAGGAGAGTGCTAGGGCCCAAAGGACCAACAATGCCTTCTGCTCTATGTAGACTGGACACAGAGTAGGAATCATGTGGAAAGTATGTTTTACTCCATTTCTGCTTCACAACACGAGGACAGCGATAACAAGACTGGACTTGATTTGTTCTGTAAACATTCTCAGGAGAATGAAAACAAGGACCCAAAGAGATCAGTGGAAGGGGGTTTGTTGGTGTTAAAAAAAACAATGATTCAAACTGTTTTGGGGCACAAATCAAACCATTGCTGCGTCTGGATTTTGGTAAACGCGGTTGTGGACTTAAAACGTCTCAACTGGGGACACGGTGGACGTACCTGCTCTGCGTCCCGGCGGCTGTCTGACCGGCGGCGGGGGCCTGCTGACCCCCTGGGACGACGGGGACGGGGACGGCGGCGGCGGCGGGGCGTGGCTGCGTCCTTGGTTGCTGCTGGCCGAGGAGTGTTTTTTGCGCAGGGAGTTGTGTCTCTGGGGGAGGTGCGGGGCGCCCCCCCCGTCCGGGTGAGACGGCCCGTTGGAGACGCCGGCCGACGGATGCGGCCTGTAGGGTGGAGGGGGCGGCGGCGGCGCAGAGTTACCGCCTCCAGCCGACCCGCTGGAGGACGGGGGCTGCTTCATGGCACTGGGGGGGGTGGGGCCTCTGCTGGGCGTCGGTGGGAGGGGCTTCTCCCGGCTGTAGGAGGAGGATGAGGATGGCGGGGCCGGCGCTTTCTGGTTGGGGGTCGGAGGAGCGTTGCCACGGCCCCCTCTCATGAAGGGCGGAGGAGGGGGGGGCGCGGAGGTGCTGTGCTTCATTCCGCTGCCGCTGGAGGAGGAGCTGCCGGCGGGGGGGCGGGAGATGTCGGGGAGCGAGGGGCGGTGGGAGCGCGGCTGCTCCGGGGGGGACGGCCTGCTGCCCGGGGACGGCGAGGTGGACCGGCCGGTGGGGGGGCGAGGGGCTGTGGGCCGGGAGCCGGGGGGCCGCAGGGCAGATCTGCCCACGGACCCGCCAGCATCTGGAGGAGGACACAGAAACACAGCCTAGTCACAATAAGGTGGATGCAGCTGGAGCCTCCTTCCTATGACTTATGGGTCCAAAAAGTAAGGGAATTGTATCAAATGGAAAAGATAACCTACTCATTAAGACTTCAAAAAAACACTTTTAACCTGCGCTGGGGGCCAGCAGAAGCAATGTTGATGTAAATAAACCCAACAAGTTTGTCTCTTGGCATATGATGTCTAGCTATCCCTCCCAAAGTGTATCTTTATTTTGGGGTTGTATGACGATGAACCTACAATCGTGACTAAGATGTTTATTTATGGAAAACTTCATATTGTCAACATTTGTGTCATGTAACTTTAATGCATGGTTGTATCATTGCTCTGCAAAAATAATAAAAGTCTAAGTTCTAAAAAAAAGAAAAGAAATAAAGCCTAGTACATCACTTTGAGTGTGAGACAGCAGAACAGGATTGTTCACACTGCCACTTTGACTAATTGTTTCTAAGGATTGCGAAACAGCTATGAAAAAATCTGCTTATTTCATCAGGAAAATAGACAGTTTATATATGAGAACGGCTCACTTTGGTGCATGACTGTAAACATCTGCCATGTGTGGAGGACTTCTTTCTGCTCGCTCTTATTCAAGTTCTCCTCATATTTTAGTTATACTGCTGCACAGTGAATGTTAACATTCACAAATAAAAAGGTGGCTGTTAATCTAAGTGTATATAAACTACAAAATTGGTGAATTTCTGCTCAAAACAGGTGTGATTATAAAATTGTCCACAATGTCCTTTACGGTTTTGAATATTGTGATATCTACGGAAATATACCTGCTGAATAAAAGAAAACTTAAAAGGAAAATGTCAATGACTAAAAAAAAAAAATAGACATAAATGAGGGTGTACAGTCACCACACAAGTACAATTTAAAATATCCAGATGTGAAAGCTGGTTAAACAAAGCGGTCGGCTCAGAAAAAAAAACAATAATAACTGGTCACTGATTTTTAAATAACTAAAAAGTCGCTGATTATTGTTGATTATCATAATTGATCCAATTTGCATCAACCCAAGTATGACCACCAACCGCATTTCTGAAGGATTGTTGTCAAGGCTCTGTCATTCACACACATTATTTAAGTCTACTCATGACCAGTTTATTACACACCTGTCTCAAGTCTGAACTAAATTATTGACATGGACAAAAATAAGCTTGTACCTCCAACTGGGCGTAATTTAGGCACACCTCCTTGGAAAAGACCCCCCATTCCCATTGGCCCTCCACCTCCGAAACCTCCACTACTGCCGCCACCTCCTCCTCCTCCTCCGCCTCCTCCTCCTCCTCCGGATTCTAACAGAGATGAGACTTGTCAGTACAGGCGAAAAAGTGCATTCTGTTAGCTGTGAAAGAAGGAGAGGCCCAATGTTTCCTGTTTTAAACACATTTATTAAAAGTAATTACTTTTCTCATTCCTCCTGAATATAATCTAAACTCAACTGTGGCTCAAATATCTATTATATATATCTACAAGCATGTCTGTCACAAAAAATCAAGCAAAACAAAATGTGAAAACATGTTGGCATTAAACATTTTCATAGAAGAAAACCTTTGTTTACACGCAGATTTACTCTAAAATGTCTGCATTTCCATGAGGTTTCTGCAAAATTTTGTAAAATCAACCCATGCTTTATGATGACCACCGTGAGGGTTTGAGGATATGTGTGTGGTGCAATCCACACCAGTGTGAATCTAGTTTGAATCGTTAGCTTTGTGAAATCCCCAAAGCACTATCAACATTATATGTCAGGAAACCAGTTACCTTTGTGCATCAAGACACACAACAGAAAACCTTTTCTTAATTCCATCGATTTAGAAGGCGTGAACTGCTGTAGATACAGGTTTTAACAAAGATCGGCGGAAATCTGAAAAACTCACTCTCTATAACCGGGGCGCTCCGGTCGTTGACCACCCCGACCTTCTTCAGCCTGGTGCCTTTGCAGATGTCCGACAGCAGAGCTCCTCTGCCTTTGGTCTCAGACGAGTTCAGTCTGGGAGGAGTCGTGTTTGCCTGTGGAACAAGTTAACACCTATGAAATTGCCTCTTAAATCCATCTGCTCTCAGCCACAGCGGGGAGTCTGACGGACGTGGGTTTTGGAAGCCAGTGGGGTCTGTTCAGATCTAATGTAGGATACATCTGACCTCTCTATCTATTTTATTTGAAGGGGAAAGTCTATGGGATATATCTGTGCACTGTACTTCATTAAACAGCCATTATGTGGCCTCTGGGTCCATGCTGACATCTGATGCTGGTCCAGTGGCACCGACCAGCTGACCAGGTGGTCATTGGCTGTACTCCCGGTGGTACCAGGGGGGACTCAGACATTTTTCTGCCTGCTTCTGGCTTTTTTCCAGTAATTACAACGTTTTGGCTGCGGGATGTGAAGCTGAATGTTTTGGCGGCGGCATTGATTTTCTCGGGCGGTAATGGTGTTAAATGGGCTCAATCCAGGTTCAAACGGCCAATGAGAGAGCAAGTCACTGACCGCACTGAAGGTTGGAGGCGGAGGGGGTCCGGGGGGAGGAGGCGGGGGGATAGGCATCCTGTCCCTCTGTCGGCAGTGGCTTGGCTAAGGCTGAATACTCGACCGTCTCCTCGGCACGGCGCGCACTGACTCCTGCGGGAAACAAACACGCGCTTCATGAGTCAAAGGCAAGCGGGGAGATGTACAATCCACAATCCATCAGAAGAAGCCAGTAACCCGTCCGTAATCACGTCGTTTTCCCCAGACAAGCACCTCTGCATGAAGGCGATACATCTTAAATGGACCAAACAGAGAACAAGTGGTTAAGGAGCCAAAGATTTCTGGAAATATTTTTAGTTCTGTCAGTAACAAACTACATTTGACTGATTAAACAGACAACCTGGGTGGACTCAGAGGTGCTTTAAACCAAAAGATTAATTTCATACAGTGCAGGGAGTCCCATCTTATCGAGCAAAGTGTTTAAATTCACCACCAAAATATACCCCAATATCTAGATAAATAAGATCAAGAGAATAAATTCTGCAAAAACGGAAAAAGGAATTTATGCAAAAATAATTGTAAGAGAAAATGAACATTTTATGCTTAAAATTGCATTAAACTTTATGTTAAATTAGCTTTTTATTACCTTCACTTATTTGAAATAAACCCTGCTAGAAATAAGCGCTATAAATAACGACTGGGTGGATTTTCTTTCCCCGTGCATTTCTTTTTGCCTTTTGACATCCACATTTGCATTTCTGTCTAATTTTGCAAATGAGGGGCGGCTTTTTAAGGTCTGTCATGAGCTGAACCGCTGGCCTACAGGCCGATTATCAGGCTGCACAGATTGTGTTCTGAACCTAAAAGATCTTCCACTTTAAAAGAAAAGAAAAACATGTCAGGAAACAGTTTGAACAGCTGCCGCTAATGGGTTCCGGGTACACGGAGGGGTTGAAGTGAAGAATGACCTTTTGGAGGAATTCATTGTTCTACATGAATGTGTGCTCCTTGTTCATTCTGCCAATTACTTATATATTTGGCCATGAGCATACTGAGACAGCCCACCAAACTACGGCCCATCTGGAGTAACCAGAAATAGACATTCTTATGTTACTCGCATACTTTTATTTCTGTCCAGTAGCCGTGTACTCAGCTCATTCAGCTTTCGTTAAAGAGCACTGACTAAGAAACCAGGATGCAGCTTCATCTCAGAGAAAAAAAGCTGCTGGTTCAGAGAAATTTCCTGAAAAGAAGGAACTGTGGAACAGTTTGCATTTCCTTATATCACAGTTTTACTGGGATTTAATTCCATCCATGTTATTCGACACTCTGTGTATCCACAGTTGTAAATCGAATACTGGATACCAAACATGATCGTTTCCCGACTCTAAACTGCTGTCAAAGTCAAATGAGGCATCATCTAAAGACATCATCTCCACCAAATCACAGGAGGAAGTGAAGCATCATCAGCTTCATTTTTCATCCCTCTTAACCTGAGCAACCGGACCCACTGAGGTAGTTCCAGCCCTAATCTTTTTAGAGAAAAGAGGCACCGTCCTGCACACGAGACATTAGTAGTCCTACGATATGTTGACTCAGCTGCACGGTCAGAAAACTGATTCGAAAACCTGGTTTTGGTGTTGGGAGATGTGACTGAACCCCATTAGTTTGCTTGTCCAGCTGGAAAGACCTGCGGTGGTCACTGCTGACAGCGAGGCTGCGATCTCCATTTGGTAAAGGGCAACTAAACACGTCCCGGTCGAATCTGAATGATCCGAGGTGTTGTGTCAAAACATGAAGTGACAGCGCTGTTATTAGTTTGAAGTGATATTTACATAAGGCTTTTAACGCAGCTCCAGGATTTACAGATTCAGACATCACACTTCATACGTTTCTCCATCCAAATCGCAGTTCCAACTGAATAAAGCATGAGGAACATTTATGAGGAGACCGTTTTATAAATGACAAACTAAAGCTAGACCCTTTAACTAAAGGGAACTTTGAATGAAGAGGACTTTTGGAGCTGAAGCTGAAGCTGAATTTAAAAAATCAAGAAAAGGTCATTTTTTCAACACTGCTTATGTGTGTGTGTTTTATTCTGATGTAAAAAAAAAAACTAAAACTGGTGTCTACTCTTTGAAAAGGCAGCTGAAACTGCTCCGAATGTGACAGCGGCACATGTGACTCAATGCACATCTGAGGTCACCGGATCTCCCCAAACCAGTTAGCTACGTAGGCCCATGGCCGCTCACGTTGGCAGCGTCTGTCTCCTCGCCCTCATAGCCACGCCCTCAGCCCAGGTGAGTCTGCAGGTTGACGTTGAAGCTGGCTAAAGGAATCTTACTGAGCCAGCTCCCCAGTCGGGGTTACAGTTTAAATAAAAGCACCGCGGCAGAAGCTGAAGCCGGAGTTGTCCGCGTACTGATTTCCATCAGTCCAAGAATCCTCCTGTAGACATTTACATTTTCTGTGGCATTCAATGGAAATAATAAGTTCCACTTTAAGAAAGAGCCGTGCTTAAAACACTGGTATTCTTTTAGTGATGTAGCTGCAAGTTAAGAACATGTCAAGACTTCACTGCTTTTTAAGTGACTGAATGAAAGGGATTAAATCTAATCTTAGGAGGGATCGCATTTGGTGTATGAATTCCAATGCTTTATTCTAATTCATATAACAAATTCATACATTGATTCTACTAGAAACATTAAATAGCGAGATAAAAAGAGATAACCAGGATCCCAGGGCCTTCAGCTTTCAGTTAGTCACACTATATACACAACTATAACACGACTGTCCCCCCAATCTCATCTTTATTAATGCAGATCAGTCTAACATGTAGTCTGGGAATAGAATGGAATGATTGGAAACTTTACTGGTGATGCTGCACTAGGGAATACAGCCAGAGAGGGAGGGGTGTAAGAGGAAGTTGGGTGCTTTTGTGGTCAAGGAAATACACTAAGCTACAGTACTGTAGAAATGAAAAGTAGAATGGTAAATGAACTGGACTTACACAGTGCTTTTGTGGTGTAGCTGACAAGTAAATAGGCTTTTTGCACAACGAGCCGTGCGGACACACAGCTCCTCTTTAGTTTTACAGGCTACACGGGGCTCAATCCCACACTGACCCACAGATTGAGGCAGCATGTGATGGGATCCAGCCACTCTGACATTTGACCTGAGGACAGTGAGGACAAAGCCGCCAACTTTCCCAGAGGCGGACGCCTGCTCCACCTGCTGACCCACTGCAACCCCATTTCCAGGCTTTGGGCTTTCTGAACTCGGCCATGTTTCATTTTTAAATGATATCTGTTAGATTCTTTAAAAAGGATATAGTCACATAAGTTAGTTTATCTTATGGATGGCAGTATTACCTAAGAATTAAGCGAAATCAAAATATAATAATAATCAGTTTTGCTCCAATAAAGTGAATTTAATAGGATGTCCTGCTCCTGTGAAGTGATTGGTTATTAATCAGTGTCTATGCTGGATGTAATAAAGTTTTTTTTCCTATAGTAAAAACGTCAAATAAAATGATGTTATGGCCTTCTCAGATTTAACTTGTGATGTACTTGAAATCACGTGATAGAAACTTTGAAATCTTTGGATTGTGAATTGTTAGTCAAGCAAAAAAAAAAAAACTGTCTTTTTTTGTTAATTTTTTTCTTTACAGGACCCATTTGTCAGCACTGCGTCAGTGATAGCTATAGCATGTTTAACTGGAGCGCAGTACTTTTTTTTAATCAAAGCATTTACTCTCTGATACCTTTATACGTTTAGACGGAGACAAATGGGGTTCCCTCGTTAAACGCTGGGCCAAAGTAATCCGTTGTACACCTGAAAAGCGTTCAAACATGCAAACTGTGACATGAAACTGGATTAGTCAGGCCGAGGCAGGTTGTGTAGCCGCTCCCAGGTAGAGCAACAACATACCTGGAAGTGGCTAGCTGGAAATTAGGTTATGTTAGCTTAACAGTTTGACAATTTACTCACCCTGGCACGAACAAGAAGATGTCTAGATGTCTCCTTTTTCCAAACAACATGAATGGAAAATGCTGTTGTGACAGTTATTTCTCAAAGCAGTTTCGGGAAGAAAATTGGGATGGGAGGGTGCTGGCATTCGCGGTGATGTAACCAAAAACACTCACAGGTTAGTCGGCTAACATTAGCTAGCTATCGTCGGTTTACTAGCTAGGCTAGGTAGTTAGCACAGAGCTGTTTACTTTCCAGCTGTCAGTGTCAGCGCAGCCCGGCTGCCTGCAAACGTCGTCGAAAAAGAAAAGAACTGAATTTGTTCACACACGAAAATAAGAAAATAAACTACTGCACGCGTCTCCCGACAACTTATTAAGAGTCCCAGGTAGCTTCGGCAAACTTTACCCACACTCCTGACCTGCAAGCAGTGCCATACTCCCCGCTGACAGTGTTTTATCGGTCCCTTCTCGGAAACCCGGAAACAGGAGGAACTACTCAAAATGGAGGCTTTTGATTGCTGCGTTCAAGTAGTGCCGTAAATTCCGTCCTCGTCAAACAGGAACGAAATGACAGCTGGCCTTAAATCTGTCCCTGAATAGTTTGATTTAGTATGCGCGTTGATATAAACACATTTCCGTAAAAGTGTGTATTTTTCAGGAACGCCTTCCAATAATTCCGTTTTATTCTAAAAATTCTCTCATCTGTATGATTTTTAAAAAATTAAAAATAATAATTCACAGATTGAGTTGTGGCTAACAAACCATGCGTTTTACAAACCGCTGCCAATATACATGTCAGGATAACTCGCCATCATTGTAGGATTATTTAATATATATATATATATATATATATATGGATATGTTTTAGGTTATTTTGGGGGGGATTGTCACCTTTTATTTCATACAAGGAGGGCACATAGGCAAACATAATGATATATTCAGACCAGGTAATTAGTTTCAGAACACATATTTAATAGATACACTATCTTTGCTTTCTGTTTGCCAAAAGTCAAACAGCTGAAACATGTATGTGTTTCTCAACTTCTTGAAGATCTTTCGGTAATCTTACTAAAAAGTGCTTTGTCAGTTCTGAATCACCAATACTTTTAGAAAAAGTACAGGACACCGATCAATTTAAAGTACTTTATGGGCGAAGGTGAAAATTCAAACTTTTGGAATTAAACCATAAATGACTGAAATTTGACGCATGCGCCTTGGTGGCGTGATTACTTCCTGTCAAGATGGCGGTGAGCAGAGGCTGCTCGGGCCTGTGGAGGACATGCAGGGTGCTGTTCCCTGAACGCGGTAGCCCGTTCCTGGCTTCCGTCCGGGCTCAGAGCTCCGTCCGCGGGGAGCTGCTGCCGCGGACGTCGCTGTCGCGACCCCCGTGGCCGGAGCAGAGAGCCGTGGAGTCGGCGGAGGAGGAGCGGCGGCGTCACGCCGCGGTGGTGAGCACCGTGAACCGGCTCATCCACGGCCGGGACTTCGGTCGCCTGTTCGCCGTGGTGCACTTCGCCGGGCGCCAGTGGAAAGTCACCGCCGAGGACTTGATCCTGACCGAGAACCACGTCGACGCGGAGTGCGGGGACCGGATCCGGATGGAGAAGGTGCTGCTGGTGGGGGCGCAGGACTTCAGCCTGCTCGGCAGGCCTCTGCTGGGGAGGGACTTGGTCAGGGTCGAGGCCACCGTGATCGAGAAGACGGACTCTTGGCCAAAGGTCAACATGAAGTTCTGGAAAAGACACCGGTTCCAGCGCAAGAAGATCATCACCCATCCGCAGACGGTGCTGAGGATCAACAGCATCGAGTTGGCTCCCAGACTCCTGTGAGGAAACGGGGCTTACCGGGGACTGTGTGTGTGTGTGTTTGTGGGGATCCAAGCCATGGACGGGACGGTTAAGGAGGACTTCTCTGAACACGGTTCAATTGTAGCCCCTCTGTTCTGAGTTTGATGTTAATAAACTGCAAAGGAAAGATGGTGTGATTCTTCTTTTTTTGCTGCAGATTCTGTGGAGGCTGTGTTTGTGTTATATTCAGGCCTTCGTTGCAACACTGTTTTGAATGTGTAGGAGAAGGTGGTGCTCTGAGGTTTTTATTCGTTCAGAAACAAAAGATTCGGAAGACAGGGTTGGTAAAAGATTGGTTTATTTTAAAACCTGCCCCGCTCATCCAGAAACAGGATGATGGCTTCAACTGTTCCAAGAACTCATCTGAAGGCACCGTTGAACATTTCTGCTCAGTGATTAGTTTTACAACTGAACTCCAGCACCAGAGATGTTAAAAAAAGAAAAAAAAAAGAAAAGAAGTCTGCGTTCAACAGGCAAAACCAAGGTAAGTATAAAGAAGAAGTGGCATGTAAGCTAACTGGGCAAGAGCTAAATTATTCTGGTTTGAAAGACAGAAAAACACTCGACCTGACTTTTTGGGGAAACTGGCTTTCTTTGTGTCCGAGCAAACGCGCCTCAGACGGATTCGTCTGGGGTTGCCCGGCCCTGTGCCGATCCTGATGGGGCTGATGTGGTCTCAACCGGTCGGACGTCACGCGTCGAGATGTAAACTGAACTGAATACATTCACTTTGTGTGGATGTTTGCCTCTGCCTGTGTGAAGGAAGCGAGAGTCCTCAACCTGGTCCAGAAAGTGAGCAGCCTCTTCCTGCCACCTGCTCTCTCCAGTTCCTTTTCTTTCACCGTAAATGAGAAGACGCAGGCTACCTTGGGGAAAGGAAGTGCCTGCGTTATTACCCAGGGAAACGGCTCTGCTTCGGGACTCCTCCAAAAATCGTCATTTTTAAAATGAGTGGAGGCGAAACCTCGGGTCAAAATTTCCACAGGCTAAGACAGAACCCATCCCATTTTGAAGCCAATCGACAGCTTTTAACAGTTAAGAAATCAAACAAATGTAATAAGCTCCGAGCGCATTTTCTCTCGGAATGAAAAGCGTCTAACCTCCACCTGACCCCAAACGGCTGCTCCACACTGTGGCGCTCGGAGGAAGAGGAGGAGCGCCGTCCAATCCGACACGGCCACCTTCATCCCAGCTTCTCCTCAAACATAACCAGACAGAATTTGATGGAACGTCATCGGCCAGGCCTCGGCACAGTGATCAACTCCAAACGACCACACCCTCACAAGTGGGTGTGCATACTGATTGTACACAAGCGGACCTCAAGCCCCGCCCCGTAGCGGAAAGAGTAGCTTCAAAACAAAATTTCAAGTATTATCTTCAAAAGTCCTATCAGAATAGTCCAAAAGATGGACTCTTCCTCCTGGAAGTCGTCCTCTTCGGCCTGAGTAGATCTCCTCTGCCTGTGTTCGTCCTCAGAGGCGTACCGGTCCTTTTCGAACGGGTCCTGCTGCACCGACTGGTCGTAGAACACGCGCATCTCGAACTCGCTCTCCCGGTGAGACGGGTGGCCGTAAATGCCGATCCCGACCGGCCGCTTGAAATCCCCGGGCACCACCACCACGTCGTGGCCGCAGGTGACCGACTGCAGCTTGTAGGTGTCGAAGCTGGGGTGGAGGGTTTTGTCGGACACGTACAGGTCGGCGTCCCCCTTGAGGCTCTGCATGTGCAGGACGATCCGCCCATCGTGGTTCAGGCGCAGGTAGCTGTAGTTCCCGGCCCCGATGTGGCCCTGGACCACGTGCAGCAGCACCCACTCCTCGGGGAGGCCGCCGTCGTCCTCCGCCGGGGGGCCCAGGAAGCTCCGGGCTTGTGGCAGCAAAAGGGCAACGAGGAGCACGCTGCAGCTCAGCATCATGGCGAAGGCATCTGTCATTCAGCCCGACAGCCTGAAACACAGAGGGGGGGGGGGCACAGAGAGCAGGGCTCAGCAGGGCGAGTAGAACATCATCAGACGGACAAATGCAGGGCACGTGAGCAGAGTCTACCCAGCAAAAAGCCCAGGAGTTGCCATGGAGGCATCTCTATTTGACAAATAGAAGAAACAGACTGAGTGGCTCTGGTTTCTGACACCAACAAAGTTAAAGCTGTCAATTCCCAGCAGCAGATTTGTGTCGTTTAACCTGCATCTGCAGAGGTTTTAGCTTCCGCCACATCGTATAAAAGAACACACCTTTGATTTGAATCCTAAAGATGATTCTGACAACAAGAAGTGCTTCATTTATTCTGTGGCCCAAACCTGTGTGATGCCAACCTCCTTAATTTGCCAAGATTTAGTGGCATTTTTTTCCATCTATTAATCCCTCTTGCATTAAACAAATCTGCTCCTCTGGACTCTCCAACACCGCCGATGATTACCATCACAAATACGCCGTGTTCCCATTTACGGCCATCAATCATTTATCTGCTTCTCCCAACAGACCTGCTGAGAAAATCCTTGCTCATTAATAAAGACTCCCCTGTAAAACACAAGGAATTATTTTATATCATATGAATCTGAGGAATAATTAGAAAATAAATAGTAATTATTAAAAGGTACTTCTGCTATGCTAAAGGATATGTTTGGCAATGGTCTCTAATCCAATTATAATAAAAATACCAAACACCAAGTCTAGAGGGCTTGAGTCACACTACTAAATTTAAAACTACAGATAGACGCGATGGTCTGCTAAAGTGCTGCTTAGTTTTAAACACGAATACAGAAATAGCAGCTCACCGCAAAGATACCGGTTCGGAAGTGGTATAAGTCGTATAGCTTGCAAGGATCAAACCCTGAACGGAAAAAGTGACGAGCTCCTACCAGGCAGGTTAAAAATAAACAGCTGGATCTAATCTGCCCAGTCTGACCTTTGATACTCTGAAAACAAGCTCTCAAAGCCGCGGCTTTCCTCTCAAAACACAGGCCGCCAGGTCACACGAAATTAATTCTACGTACAAGCATTCTAATAGAGATTCGCAATTAAAAAAATTAAGCTAAATTTTCACCGAAAACCATCAAAATGAAACGACCGGTTCCACCTGACACAGTCCGGGGACCACGCGGAGTTTAACAGCCTTTGCTAATCTCCAGGAAGCTAAGGAAGCACCTGTTTCGTAGTTTCATGTGAAACACACTATTTTTAAAATAGCAACAGAAAACTATCTGTAGAATTTTAAATAAACGTTTGCTAAGGGGCACGTTACTGTAAATAGCTGAGCTAAAAGCTAGCTACTTTCCTGGCTAACAGTCACCTTGCTAATGCCGCCGCCGGCTTTTTCAACAACTGCACACGACTTCAAAGAAATAGATATAATTATTTATGAAATGTTAAATTAAAAGGTTGTTATTACACTCATTGAGTCGCTCAACAGAGCACTACATTTACTTACGCCGCTGTCATTTCCTAGCCAGCATTTTCGACTTAGACGGTGGCAACAAAGTTCACTTCTTCGCTTCCTTTTTCCGCAGACTCCCAGAAGGAGAGCGCCAGCGCCCCCTGTCGGCCAACGTCGCCATGCAATCCACAAGAGACGATTAAAATGTGAATTTAATAAAATATTAGGTTATTAAAAAGCAGTTAATCAATATAATAACAATCTTAGATGCATTCAGCATGAAATTACTTGTGTTTTTGTTTTCTGATGAAACCTATGAACCGTTTAATGAATTAGATTACATTAATAAATTAGATTAAACATTTTTTGATAAAGTTGTCAAATTATATTGATTTGATTTAATTTAATTCCTGAACTGTGCAAAATGGTCTGGATGGTCTCCGAGACAAAGGGAAAGACTTCTCAGTGTGCTTTGGAAATTGTTGCAGAGAGCCGTTTTTCCAGAATGAGCCCAGGAAAAGGGACAGGAAACAAAAGTTAACTGCCCTTACTCTGAAGGAGCAAAGAAAGAACAGGGATTCAATTTAAGATGATTCTGAGAGGAAAAGGAGAGAAAATCAACCAGAAGAAAAAATGGAAGCTCTTATCAAGGGCAAAGAGACCAAGTTTGAGGTTATTATGAGAGGAAAAGGAGTGTTTACCTGGTTCACTGTTATTTAACAATTTAATAGAAAATATTTCAGAAATGATTGCAGAAAATATATTGCACAGTATCAATTAATAATATAATATTGCAGAAAATAGAAAACATTTCAAGAATACTAAAAGGGGAAGCGGGTGTTGACCTATATGGGGGATCTGCGGACCCTTCCTCAGATTTTTTTTAAGGTCCCTTCCATCCACTTTCGTTATCTTCTCTGTAATCGTGTGACATTGCTGTTGATTGAAACTCGTTTTTGTCTCTCAGCCGGTATCACTGGCCCGTGTCACGGTGCTTGTCGTCACCTCTTTGCCGTGTTCCCAACTCTTACCCGGACCAGAAACCAGAAAGACGGCCGCCATTCCTGGTATTGATGTTTTTTTTTATTTGTTCCACCATCACATCCTGCACATTCAGGACAGATTGGATCAAAGTGAAATTCAAAGCAGTGTACTGGTTGCCTTATAGAGATAACCTTTTTGAATTTATTCTGTATGAAGCAGACTAATTTGAAATGACATATAGGTCTATGGGGGTTGATGTTGTTAAGATGTAGCAATCTGACTTAAAAACAGGACCGTAAACTGCAAGTGTTGCAGTTCGTTTTCTTCTTTTCAATAATTTTCCAATACCAATGCATTGGTGGGTAGAATAAAAAAAAAAGAAAAGAAAAAGATATGTAGCTGCCATCACAGATCCTTTGCCAGCTTTGTTATATAGGCCTTAATTTGTACATACTGCCAGAAACTGTTCACGTCAATAAATGAACACATTTTACTTAAAAAAAATATTCAGTCTGGCATTGTCAGTTCAGAAAATTCAACCTTATGCCAAAAAAAATAAAAATAAAATTCGCACAGCAGGAAGATTCGATACACCTGAGAAATGTCCTGTAGGGACACATGCTGCATTATCAACTGGTACTTTATTAGACTGCATATTTACAAATGTCTTGGCAACATTTCAAAGGTGTCCTGTGTGACAGCTTTCTTCTTAAAGACTTAAAACCACAAAGACGTTCCACACAAACTAAAAATCTGATTAATTTTAGAGACAAAACTTTGAACTTCTCTACAAGATCAGAAACCTCAAAGCTGCCAGAACATTTTCTACAGAACCTTGATGAAACCAAGAAGGTTTCAGCATCCCTGCAACGATCATGTCAACCTGGCCCGTCTCTCATTTGTGTGATTCGGCTGTTACATTTAGACATTTTACACTTTTAGATGCTGCTGGAATCTTCTTAATTTAGTATGATCATTTCAATCCGTCTCGAGGCATGCACATCCACACCAGACACACACACGCGCACACACACAAAAAAAGAGACAGAAAAGTCACCCACCCCCCCAAAAAAAAAAAAAAAAAAAAAAAAAA